TAAAACACGATGTTTTCCCGTTTTTTTTTTTTTTTTTTTTTTTTTTTTTTTTTTTTTTAAAGGCTGAGGAAGGGTGGGCCTGCCATAAGTGCAGCGCTGCAGCAAGAGTTGTGACCGACTGTCCCAAGCAAAGGGCAGCATGTTCCCCAGACGCAGAGCTGGGTGGAGTGAGGACCAGCCCACGTCCTCTGTGTCCTAGCCCGTTGTCCTCACCCTTGGGTTAAACATGATTAAAATCGCTTGACCTCAGGTCTGCGTTAGAAAAAAATCAAGTCTTCCACATCCACGGTGGTAGCTGAAATCCGGTCCAGGACAATAGGGCCAGGAAGGGAACGTCCCAGGGGAGCAGAGCTGCACAATGCCGCCTGGCCGTGCTGCGCTCGAGGAGAGGTGACTCCTATGCTGCAGCTCCCACTCTATAAGCAGCACATAGCGGCCTTTTTCTTACTCTAAAGAGAGAGGATTAAGAGGGTGTTTATTTGTTTATTGGTGTTTCTCATGGTTTTTTATCTGAGATCCTGGCCAATATTAATTTTAGTCATCAAATATACCTGTGAAACAGGGAGTAATGATTTTTGCCTTACTTCTGATGCTTCTGGGAAACGGAAGTCAGACAGATTAATGGCTTCACCTGTGTGAATTTGGGAATCTGGCACATAAGTGGAAACAGGAATTGAATCTTCTCACCATCCTTTATTGCATAGCATTGAGGATAAAATGCCTCCCTTTTAAGAAGGAAAAAAACCCTCTAGTTTTCATCTGCTGGCTAGATAATGTGGACGTTTATCCTTGTTACTATCTCCAGCAGAAGAGTTTGGTGGCTAGAGTAATGAATTTAAGTCTTCACCAAAGGAAAAATAATCATAAGAGAGAACTAACTGAACTTTTTAAAACTACTGTGTTGCATTTTACAACCTCTTCTGGGTCAGTTCCTTCATTCCTACCTGTGCTATGTAAGCATGCAATATTACAATTACAATAGCAGTTGGAGAGGATGAATTGTGGTCCCTTGTGCTTGCTGGAAACTCTAAGGTGATGCAACTGGAATGCACACGGGAGAATAGAGCAAATCTGCTTTTGTTTATTTTCCTGTAGATAAGACTGTTTCTTTCTAAGGAAAATATTAAAGGTAATTCATAAAGATATGACACGTTCTTAGCATGAATAACATTATTTTTAGTCTATTACGATTTCCAGCAGTATTAGATCTCCACTCCTAGAGAAATATTAGCCCTTTAGGGAGGAAAACTTTTCTTATTGTGTTATCATCTACATATATATGTGTGTATATATGTGTATATAAAGTAAATATTATGTTTATTAGTATTATGTTAAGATTTGAAATTGGTTAAAATATTATATGAAATAAAAGATACATTAAACAATATTTTTAACCACTAAAATAATCTCTTTTCATGCACTTCACACTTGGCTTCTTACAAGAAACCACCAGAGGTTACAAGAGGACATTTCAAACCCTACAGCCCAGTATTTCAAAGAAAAGAAAAAGCCAGAGAGATGCCTGAAGACATCCACCTCTATGTGCCCCATTGTCCTTTTCAGAGCAGCACTAGAAGTTCTCCACGGACCCCCCCTGGGAATGGGACGCTGGCTGCTGATTTTTATGAGGCTGAAGATATAGATGGTGACATTGGGACATACACAGCCCAGGGCTGGAAGGAAAAAAACCTGAAATATACCTCTGAACCAGAAGATTTTAACTGGAAGACAAAAGTGCTGTCATCTCTGGATTTGAAAGAGAAAGATGGCAAAAATACAAGGCACCAAGAAGAAAAGCTTGAGCAAGAATTAAAGGAGGCAAAAAAGAGGCTGGTGCTTTGTACTCAACAGCAACCCTTGTTGTATGATTCAAACAGGACGGACTTAGGTGGAACCAGTCCAGGGTATCAAAACAAAGGAGCGCTGGGGACTTCAGAGGAGAAGAATGCTGACTGCAGAAAAGATGTGTTCAAACTATCTGGTTGTCCTGTGCCTCTCTTATTTGCAGACAATGCTCCACCAGCTTTGCCAGTTGACACAAAAGATGCTCTGAGGAGTCGAGATGCAGTTGCCAGGGAGCACGCAGCTGGCCAGCCAAAATCGCCACTGAGGCTCATAGCCAATGCGATCAAAAAGTCCATTTTGGAGCCTCTAACCTCGTCTCCAGAAGGACTAAAGCAGGACTCAGACAGCAAAACCAAAGCCTCTTCAGAACAAGCTTTCTTCAGCTTCCCCAGTACTCCTAGCTATTCCCTAAGCCAAACGAACAGTAACAATAATAGAGCAAATAACGCTCAGCCACAGGAGCTTAAAGTAGGGGAGTGGGCAGGAGAATATTTAGGAAATGGGAGCCTTCTCTCAAATCCATCTCATTTTTCTGCTGGCTCTGAAGAGAGATCTCCAAGGGATTACAGCGAGGAGGTATCCTTCCCAGTCTACAGTCCTCACACGAGGCCTTCCAAAATGACCAGTATACCTCAGAAATCATATTGCACTAGGATGGAGGATGTCCCAGGACTCCTAGAAAAGTTTACCTTTAAAGAGACTCCTCCAGGGGCTCCCATGGATGGCGTATTTATCTGTAATGAAAAGTGCCTCCTTCTGTCATCTCCAGAGCCCAAGAACACCTCCAAGGACAATCTGGATGACTCTGCACAGAAAGGGAGTCTTGGGTCGCTCTTTGATAGACTGAGAAGTAAAGTTCGTGACAGAGAAGGGAATTCCTTCCTGTCATCTCTGCCTTTCATGAAGGACCATTCTCCAGAAGACAGGCTACATTATCCTTCCACAGGTGAGGGCATGAGTGGAATTATTTATTTCTGGTAATAGCACTTAACATTTAAAAGACCTGTGTGTGATCATGCAAACACATACCTGTTGTATGCTATGTTTAATTTATAGTTACTTTCTACATAGAAAGACTGAATAAATATATCTTTTGGTTAATGTTTAGGAGTTGCTTCTGGTTTAAAGGAGCAGAGTGGATTTGCAAGCAGAGCGCAGCACTCTGGATCCAAGTTTGATCTGCTGCTCACTGCTGTTCAAAAGTGTTCGGGTCAGGAAAATGTAATCCCCGAGGTGGAAGGAGCGGTGAGGCAGAGTGAGATGCTGTGCAGAGCAGCTGCTGCTGTGACACTGAGTGTGTTGTGGAAGGGGGAGTACAGTGGGCAAGCAGAAGAACGAGCACCGAAAACTCCAGTGCAGTGTAGACTACATTTGCTACCCTTTCCATGAGGAGTTCAGCGACTGAAGCAATACAGTTGCAATAGCAAGAAGCTTTGCTTTGTGTATGTGCTTTCTCAGCAGGTGTCTCTTCAGCTCTGTCTGCTGCTGTAGTGACCGAACTGTAGACACACTTTTGGGAGCTTTGCAGTGTCATTAATATCCCCTTGTTCTTTTATTCGAGAGGAGATAGCACCTTATTGACATATTCTGACCTATTTGTGAGTCTATTTGGGCAGTGATTAAAAGGCATCAATTTTCATGTTTGCTTGTGAGAACAAGGTTAGTATTAAAATTGCAGACGAGTCTAAGAAATATTGATGTCAGACAAAGAGCAATCTGAGTAATCTGAGCATAGGCTCAGAAAGAATTAAGTGCGGCACAGTTTCAGATATGAAATACGAGGTATGAGAGCTGCACCCACCTGTCTTTCTCTGTGATCCATCTTCTCACTAGCCTACTGCAGAAAGTCACAGTTATTTAACTAAATAACTTATTGAATTTTATTGACATACCTGTTTGTTTCTTACTTTATTAAATTGCAACCCGAACTGTAACCTCAAAATTGCTGCTGTGCTGCAGCATTAAAATAACTATCTGTATGTAAAATGTGAAGTCACCGAAATGTTCCCAGTGAGCTGCCAGATCCTTTTTGCATCCTTTCTGCTTCAGAACTACTGCATACTGTGAGGAAGATATACAGTATACGAGAGACTTGATCTGAAGCTCATTAAAATCAATAGAATAACTCCTGCTCTCATTCCTGAATTTTTGGATTAGATTCTTGGAGCATCCTTTATCCAGCAACTCGCGAAACCAGGCATCCTCATTGAGCCGGAGGATGCTAAGGACTGCACTGAAGCCACAGAGAGTTGCTAGTGTTCACACTTGCCACGCTGTGGTCTTAAATGGGAGGCTTTTTCTGAGTCTATACCTAGTCATGACCCATCAACTAAGCCAAGTTGACTTGCTCTTAACTAAATGTATTACAATAATTGGTATGTTGTGTTCCTACTAAAATGGGAAAAGTTCTTGTTAGGTTTGAATAGTGCTATACTTTATTTATGTTTTTAATATTTTGGAAAAACATGCTGGTTTAATATGTGTTGCATTCCTCTGCTGTGCAAGCCAAAAGAGGAATTATTAAATTATTATAATTATTGAATATAGGCATTGCAAAGTCTGTTCAGAAGAAAAAAATGCAGCTTTGATCTAGCCATTTGCCCAGTAATCTGTCCTCTTCAACATTTCAACATTGCAGCTCCCTGAACTTTTTCAGACATTCATATTTGAGTAAATCAGACTGGTAAAGAGCCAAGTCCTGCCTGGCTCTCTAAAATGGCATTTCTGTCTCATATTGGCACTTGTCTGAGGCGCAGGCTTGGCAAACTTCAGTCATGAACTGATGACGAGCTTTAGCCCACATTACATGTCATTATTTTTCTCTTTTGAAATTTACCATGCATCTCAGAAAATTCTTTAAAGAAAAAAAAAATACTCCCAGCACCTTGCAGAAACCAATTTATTGAGGCTCTTTCTCATACTCCTCTTGGCTCTTTGCAGTAGGGCTTTTCTATCCTATTTGAGGCCAGACAGACTTGTTCTGTGCGAGTATGGTTGGTCTTACATTACGCTGGTGTTTTCTCCCTCAATGGGCTGTTGGCTTGTGGAGCCAAAGAATGAGCTGGGTGATGAAAGTCCATAGGCTTGAGATGAGACTGGGCAAGCTCATTGAAGAGAAATCCACTGAGGATTAACCAAATGCTTAGAAACCACTTCCAATTTAGAAAGCTCCTGAACTGAAAAATGCTTGGAGGCTGGGTGAGTGTTAAGGGGAGGAATCACGTATGACTGCCCGGTGCCTATAGTGTTCCTTTAGACATCCACTGCTGGAGACAGACTGGAAGGACCTTCAGTCTCACCCTACGCATCTACTTCTATGTTATGTTGCTCATCTTTCCCTACACCTTATCTTAGTTACTTCATCTGCAAATACACATCCAGATGTCTTTCCTATCCTGATGACTCCTGCAGTTCAGACCCAGGTGTCTGTCCAAACTAAAACTATATTCTGTCCTTCTGTCATCTCCTGCCAAGTGTTCAGCCACCGGCTGAAGCTCAGCATGAGGAAGCAGAGATCTTAATTACTCAGCAGCAGATTGCCTGTCGCTCAAACTTATGCCTGCAGTTACACCTTCCATATGGGTCATTCCAGCTTCTGATATCCGGACCTGGTCTAAATGCTTTCTGGCTAACACTTTCTGTTTCATGAAAGCTATTCCTCAGAGCCACTTGGAAATTTTGGGCTGTGCAGAGATCCGGCTGCACAGATTACCTGTAATCTATGTACCATAGATTACCTAGACAAATCTTACTGAAGCAATGGGGATTCATGCACTGTTTTCAGTGAGAGATTGATTTAAAAAAAAAATAAAATCCGATCTAAGTTTGCCTATAGAATATACAAATGTCCCTAAATAGCCACACTGGAGTTTCTAGGTGCAGTTCCAGATTTTTGATTTACTGCACAAGTATCTTTGAGGCTTTTGTCCTTTGATTCCTCCTTTGTGTTCCAACCTGCAGTTAAAAAAAAACCCAAAAACTCGATCAATAAAAATGATCAATCAGATGGTTAACCGTTCTCTCCTAAACCTACTTGCCCTTTTGAAATTCAAAAAAATGCCAAAGTGCCATGTTAGTTATAGATACTAAAAATCATTAATACCACAGAGAAACAACAGTAAAAAGAGAGCTAAGCCAGGTTGTATGAGAGAGTTGAAATCAGCAGTGTTTGTAATGAGACGTAGTAGTGGATCCAGGGCTTAGGTTACTTTTGACTTACAGACAGACCTTCCGAAGACCAGCCATGAAGATGGTTGGTTATTGGCAGATGTTTGTGACTGTGGGTTTGCTTCTTGATAGCGATTGAGATGTGGGAGGAGTATCTCTGTCCCTGACAGAGTAGGGATCGTGTGAAAGCATTCCTAGAATCATTCCTTAGATGAGTTGAGTTGTTATAACTCAGTTTGTGACTGTGTGTTGTTTACATGGCTCACTTCATTAAGCAGGACAACCAATTCAGCTGATGAGAAAATTAGATGTGTTATGAACTCACTTTGCTGTTTTTGTGCACTTTTAGGTTGAAAAGGGATTGCTTGCAAATATTTCAGGTTCATAGATGGTTCCCGTTACTGCATCTTTGTACTACTGAAAGTCTGTGTCTTTGCAATGTTCTTGTCAGCTAGGACACTGTTATCTTAGTGATTTCATATTTTAGAAGGGGAAATGAGGCACTACAAGATTAAATTACATGCCTAAGACCACACGAGAAATCCGAGGAGAAGCAGAGATGTGAAGCCAAATAGCCAAGCCCACTCTTGATTTCTACTGGCCTTTCTTTTCATCTCCTACCTCATGCCAATTCTCATCTGGTTTGGGACACCAGTGCCCCAAGAGATAAGTGTAGCTTTGCCTCTCTCTTTTGTAAAACACTGAACTGCTTTAAGTGGTCATGATTAACTCCAACGACTTTATAAAAATAGGAAGTCTTGGACACTTACAGAGGAAGCCAACAGATTAATATAACACTGTGTTATAAAAACAGTTCCTGCTCCAAGACTTTCTGTGTATTTAGACTACAGTCATTACTGTGACACAAAAACACCCCAGGAAAGGGAGGTGAGCTGTGACATGCAGAGTGACGGCAGCGATGGTTTTCCCTATAAATCTCCAGGACAATCAGCAGTGCTCCCACGTCTAACAGAAGGTATCACCTTCTTAACCTCTTCATATGACACCTCCCTCTTTGTTCAGAGGACCTCCAGTTTCCTAGGAAAACCAGTACCTTAGATTTACATGCTAAGGGATGGGTTCTCAAAAGCACTGGACTTTGGTCCAGTTGATCCTTCTGAATACAGTGAGGGTTTTACCGCTGACGGCATTCGATGGCAGTGCGCTTAGGCCAAAGCAAAGTGTCTTTGAGACCCACCCTTGGATTACCAAGCTGTAAAGAACTGGCCATAGGAAGGAATTTTAATTTTATGGATGTAATTTTTCTTGTCTCTTATGACATACACATATAAGGATACCAAGTCCCAATATCAAGAAATGGAGGTTTTCTCCAACTTTGTACTCTGAAGCGTATTCTGTGACACTGTCAGATTCAATAACAATTAATAATAATAATTAATACTCAGTTACCTGATTTACAGCTGTCAAATCACAGGAATGCTGGAAAGGTCTCTTGACCAAACTCCTAGTAGCTACTGTGAGGTAGAAATCAAGAATACATTAATAAAGATTTCAGAAATATTTGTTCCTTTCCCCTTTATAACTAATAATTAAAACTATATCTGACCGTTCCTAGTGATCCAAAGTCATGTTAGCTGGGGAGGCAAAGCTCTAGTATAACATATGTTAATTTGGAAGTTAGGGAGACGCCAGAGAACTTAAGAAATAAATCCCACTTTGAAGGAATGAGATGGCTGGAAAGAGAAAGCCCAAGTCTAGAAGTGTTAATATTTGGAAAAAAACATATGTTTTTGAGATCTTTTCTGTAGCTATGGAGCCTTAAAGCTTGACATATTTGGAGTAGACAAATTATTCTTATCTAACTTTATTATTGTAGTTCTAAGTTTCAGATTTAAATGACCAAGTAAGTGTAAAAGTCCCTAAGTTGAACATTTTTATGTGTGAACTCCTTGTCCAAATCCTCACAGCTGGCGACTAAATTCTGCCTATCCCACCCCTTTGGAGATGAGAAAGATTAATGCTCTGTTATCTATAGTAGAACATATAGATGCTGTAATACAGAAGAGTTTTGGGGTTTGGTGTTTTTTTTCCAAAATGGAATAAACTTGTGGTATTTTTCTCTAGCTCTGCATAAAGCAAGTTCATTCAGTGAGGTAATTCCTTACTATGCTCGTTATAGTTGTCTTGAAGTTGAAATTTGCATCTGGGGTACATTTTAGAGCATATTTCCGGTCTCTCCCACAAGGAAATAGCCAAAGAAAAATAGTTCAGCAGAGCACTGCGTGGCTGCCCTTTTCATGTTGAAAGAAATGCACTGTCCAACTGTTTTTATATCCCTGAAATGTGGCAGGACCACACATCTGGGAGCCAAAAACCTCTATTCTTATCCCAATTCTGTCACTCTCTGCTGTGTGTTGCCGGGCACCTCCTTGGAGCAGCCCATGCTTCAATTATCCACATTGTATTAGCAGAGAACATCAGTGCTGTGAAATGTATATGCAATGAATGTGACAGAGACCATAACTGTCAATGCACACAGGTAGATCCATCAGATGCCTCATCACTGAGTGGCTTCGTGTGGTCCTTCGTCCTGTAGGCTTTGTGGGTGGAGATGATGAAGGATGTTGCTGATTGCAGTCAGGTGGCTGTTGTCTCACAGGGCTGTGGGTACCACACCCCTTGAAAGGCTGAGCTGTTTTGGAGCAATCTAAATGGCTTTTCTCTGCAGAGCAAGGTGCAAATACCTGGCTTTCCATAGCAGATAGGCATTGGGAGGACTGTGGATGTTATGAATCTGTTCCGTGCACAGACATCAGCTTCCTCGTGCCCATGAGATGGCCCTTGGAAGTCCTTGGGGAAGTCATTGACCCTCTCTCTGTCCCAGAAAGGCAAACAGCTCCCGAGTCACACCCCTGAGGAGGAGGCAGGTGCCCTTGTGTTACAGCAGGCTGCTTTTCCTCTAGACCTTGTAACGCTTTTTAAATTATTGATATCACTCAAAGAGGAGGACACAGGGAAGAAGTCACTTATTCCCAAAGCTGAGAGAAGAAAGGGAGCGTGTAATTGCTTGTGTTTCCAGCCCTGCCAGGCTGTAAGGTTTGCTGCAGGCATATTATGGAACTTGATTTCACCAGCGGCCTGACCGCAAGGTAGTTACTGCAAACTTTTGGTTGCACAGTGAAAAGCAAGGTAGGCGAGTTTAATCCTCAAAAGAAATAGTAACTGTGATACCCCCATGCCTTCCTCCATTTCGTGCACTGGGAAGGGCTTTACAGCTGACTGTCCCTGCTGGGGGCAGAGACAGGGCACAGCTGGATTTACACTCTTGTCCACAGAGTGTGGGGCAGTGCATGGCACCGGTGTGACCCCAGCAATCGTGAGCCATCGGAGAGTCCCCAGCAGGTCAGGAAGTGGGAGCTGTGTCCCTCCTCCAAGTGCTGCGAGGTGTGGGGTGGCAGCCTGGGCAATTCTGGAGCAGGGGAATCACGCGTGCGGCTGGAGTCCCACCTGGCATTTCTGCCAGGGCTATTGCACCTCCTGGTGCCCAAGGACTTGCCCTGCAAAAAGGAGGGCAGGACCCAGGTCTGCTCCACTGGACCCTCTGAGCGTGCAGCTTCATTGATGCAAGGACTGGGTGCTTCTAAAATTGAGATTGCCGAGAAAGATCAGAATTTCTGCCTCAAATTACTTGGACTTGCTTTCATTGCTTTACTGCCTGTGATGAAGGTATTTCATAGATCCTGATTTTAAATTATGTTATGAGACAAAAGTCCTACTTCAGGACTGGGATTCAGGACATGGCAAAGAAGAAACATTTACACTGGGAGAATGGGAAGTGATTTTAATGTGAATACAACTTGCACATAGAAAGCCAACTGTTACCTCGCAGATACAAAGAAAAATGGCTCTGTTAGCTTTAAATAATGTACATTTCCAAGATGTTGCCCAGCTGTTAATCATTAACCCTGTAGCAGGTTGAAGCGTAGAGACAGATGTTCCAAAAGCAGTTTTATTTTCTGGAATAAAGAGAATGAAGCTATGAATTAGACAAATTAAGAAGAAATTCAAATATTTACACCCAGTTGAAATAAGATGCTGGAAAAACAGGCATGATAAAATTGCTGCAATTAAATGTAATTTAATTTATAATTCTGAAAGCATGCTTCTTCCAGAGGCAGCCTTTGAGTTTTCCTTATGGAGTGCATTGTTGTGATGTATGGATTTTCCTGACTTATTATGGCATTTTAATCAACAGTTCAATGATGTGATAATATTCCTAAAGCAGAAAAATAAGTGACGTTTGTTTAGACATAATTAATGAAATATTTATGTTGCATGAGGCTGTGTGATAAAGCCTTGTTCTCTTAGTCCATTTGCTTCTGATTACATTTGTGATTTTTTTATATGACCAGACATTCTGACGCCAACTATTTTACACTGAGCAGATGTCATGTAGTAAAAATGGGTGCCAGATGCTACAAGCCACATAAGGGTAATTTGTTTAAGAGCTGGCTCAGACTTTTTGCATTCAATTACACTGTATAGTGAGCCTTATACAATCATTTGGGTAATATGGCTAACTTCAGATATACATTTTAATGAATGTTGAGTGCGTTCAGAACAGCATGCTACATGCAGGATGTTCAACGAATTAATTTATTTGTATGTAATACCTGAAAAAAATCAAATATACCCAGACAGAGTTTTTGACAGGGATCAAAAATTTAATGCCGTGAGCCAAATTTCCAAATTGCTCTAGGTGCTGCTGATTAGAACTCAGGACAGGTGCAAAGTGTCTGTGTAAGTTAAAGAACAGTATTTTTTTGCTTCACTATTTTGTTCCTGCATTTTAGGATGTGAACACCTACCTGTCAGAAAACAAGCTACCGAGTATTCTACTTCTTCCTCCGATGATGAATTTGAATCCAAGCCTTCATTAACACACAAGGTAACCTTGACTTGGAAACAAAGATATTTCCTCAGTTGGACTGTATTTAAGATTCATCATATGATTTTGGTCTAAAACACACCACAGTTTCTTAAAGTGGGGATGGGAACGCTTTATCAGTGGAGGTTATGTGTCATGGAGAGAAAAATACATTAAAACTCTGTAAGACAGATGAAAATCAAAATTTCTGTTTCCTCTTTGGATCTTTAATTCCCCCAGGTTACACCAACATTGACAGAGAAGGTCTTAATTTGACAAGCAGACATGTTTCACTGAAACCACTTCGAAGCTGCATTCTTAAGTGGCCTTAATATGTAGCCAAACAAGCAAACTGTTGAAAAAATTAATCCAAACAGATGCAGATTTCCCTTGGGGAAATAAAACTTCATTTGAGAGGCGCTACAGGCAGGTTGTGTGGAAAACGCTGTGTTTATCCTAATCAGCACGACTGCGTGAATCATGAAGTCGCACCCAGACTATACACCGGCTGCACACCGGGGGTCTTCAAGCCCTAACTCGATTCCTGTGGCTAGCAGGAGCGGTGGGATTAAAGCACCAGTGAACTCTTGATAGCAAGCTCTGATTTGAAGAAACAGAGCTTTTATTGCCTGTATAGCTCATCAGAAATATGGTTACCTCTTTCCTGTAGAGGGAATACCAGTAAGTGGAATTAACAGTACGAGGTGGCCTTTTGATTTGTTGCCTTTGAGGGGAAAAAAAAAAAGCAAAGCTAGAGGCTGCCCAGTACACTGAAAAAACAGCTGAGCTGAAAGCTAAGTGGGGCTTTGAATGGAAACCCAGTTGCACAGCTCCAGAGGAACCGCAGTGCCACGAGGTAGAAGCGCAGCAGCGTGTGGCAGCATGTACCGCCAGTGTCTGTGTCAGGATGCGCTGAGATGTCAGAATTCATCATTCATCTTTCCTGTTACAGGAAAGACAATCCGTAGTAAGATAGTATTATAGTGAATTAAATAAAGTTTAAACAAAATAGAAAAAAGAAGGGAGACATGGCAGAAAACTCAACAGGAGCAACTCCCAGCAGTTCAGGCAGCCCCAGGGAGAGGCAGGACCAGGCAGTGGGGAAGGCAGCGCTGCCAGGGCAGCTGCCAGAAACGGGGTGAATGAGCAGCTGTTGCACACGGGCGTTAGCAGTGACTCAGTTTTGATGCACGTTCCCCACTCAGCTTATTTCTCTCGGCTGCCTCCTAGCACTTCTTCTCATGCCAGCACTGGCTGCTATTTTGCCAGTACCACTGTTTTTCTCTGGCAAAACTCAGTGGGAATAATTTTAGTGGCTTCCTGGCTTGTTAGTTTTTTAATCATCTTGTCTATGGTGTTCATGTATTCTGTCTCCTCTAAAATGGGAAAATCACAGCCTCGAAGCACTTCCAGATAGCTTGGGTCAAGGGCAAGATGGAGCAAGCGTGGGTGATTCCCTCGGCCAGCCCTGCAGCACGTGCTGCCCCGCTTTTCAGGCAGCAGTGACAGGTGCTCCAAGGAAAGGCAAAAAACCTCTGTAATGCAGTAGAGAAACGGCACTGGGGAAGGTTTCGCAGGGCTTCAGGTAGTGTCCTACGATGGCTGTTTCTTTCGGATACGTTCCTCTTACTGTGTTACAAATGATCCAAAGTGAATTTTACTACTTAGCAGCTACAGCAATGGAAATGGGTTGAGTTTCCTTAAACTGGTGCCTCCCACTGCCTGTGCCTGGCTTCCTCCCTGATCACGGTGATGTCTGCAGAAGCCATGTATGTTGAATATAGTCAACTTTGAGATTCAGACATTTTTTTATTGATAGACACAGTTCACACTCACTTAAGGTTGCAATAAGACCTTGTAATGATTTGAAGTCAATGTAGGCAAATGCACGAAAATATTCCTACGTGAATATTTTCATTTCGGTTAGGTTGCCCCACACACCCTGCAGTAGCTCACCTCGCTTTAAGCAGGGGAGTCGGGTTAGACGATCTCCAGGGGCCTCTCCCAACCTCAATGGTTCTGTGATTCTGGGGAAGGTTTGAGAAAACCTGTGGTGGCACACTTACGCTTTGATTGCCTCTTTTTTCCCCTCTCTCTTTTTTGTAGGCAAAAAGGACTCTCAGAAGGAGAAGGAAGCTGGAGAAGGAGACAAAGCAATTGATTAAACAAGAGGAGCTGAAGAGGCTTCACAAAGCACAGGTGAAAATGTAGCTTGCAGATGTCCCATTTATCTCCCAAGAGCGGCTAGCGAGGACAGGAGGTATCCAGTGTGGGCTCTGCACCTCTCCTCGCTCCTCACTGTGGCTCACTGCCTTCTGTGTTGAAATCCCTCCAAAACATCAGGAGCAAGAAGATGTATGTGGCAGGGCCTTGCAACTCTATATGTGACAAATCCACGTGTGCCCCAAGAGATCATCGTAATTTTGTAATTGTGTATGAAGAACAAGAGGGAATAGTGACTGGCAATAAGAGAAGAATACACTGAAGAGGGAAAGAGATAGAAAGGGGAAATAATATCAGCCCCTGAGAACGTCAGAAACTCAGCTATTACCCCTATGTACTACAGGAGGGTACGAAAATACAGTGATGGTTTTTGTTCTCTCTCTGCCATAACAGTGAAGGTCAACCATTTTCTTTGTTAATGATGGAAAGTCACTTCACTTTATGCAGGCCCTGCTCTTTGGAAAATGCTGGAAAAGCTCTGGACTCTGCTAATGTTTTAGTATTTCCAATTACAGTTCAAAGATTTGAGAATGCACTTCTGCATGACTTGATCTCAGGCTGTGTTCTCTCAGGTGTCAAAATTTTCAGGTTTATTTCACTTACCACACATACATATCTATATGCATATATATACACACACACACAAATCTTAATGGCTTATGTGGCCGTTAGCATTTTTTTTGTGTGCCTGTGCTGTAGCATAGGGCAGAGAAACCTGAGCTAGATTTAATCTCAATAATTCAGGTTGTAATGGTAATCGAGATATGGTAGTGGGGAGAGCAGGCTTTTTGAAGGCAGAGTTGTCTGTCATCTTCTGTTTTATTACTTTGTGTGCCTGTGCTGTAGCATAGGGCAGAGAAACCTGAGCTAGATTTAATCTCAATAATTCAGGTTGTAATGGTAATCGAGATATGGTAGTGGGGAGAGCAGGCTTTTTGAAGGCAGAGTTGTCTGTCATCTTCTGTTATATTTCTATAGCAGGTGGATAGTTTTGGATGGAGCTTCCACTTGCTATTTCTGTACCAATATTAAATTAAAAAAGAAAATTAATAAGTTGCTTTTCAGATGTGAATCTGAAATCTCCGTTTTTGCAGACATCACTGCTTTTGCAAAATGTATAACTGAAAAGGAGAGAAATTTTGTGTTTGAACCAGACAGTGGATTTTAGAAAATGCTAATATCTAGCTGTTGTTATAAAATCCGTGACAGAATAAAACCCATGGGAAAGAAGAATAGTATCTTATTTCATCCAAAGTAAGAGCAACTATGTTATAGTTTTTACCTGAGAACTGTAAATTATCTCAAGGTAAAATTAGATGCATACATGCCTTCTCTTATTTACTGCTTTGTGGAAATAATCAAGTCCAAACTTTTCGAACCATCTTTCGTGTTTGTTAGGCTGTTCCTGAGGGCTTGGCTTGGTATGCCCTAACACAGCCTGAAATGGGAACTGCGGAGCATCTCTCTTCGACAATTCAACCTTTTAAGGTGTTTCATGCTTATTATCCACATGGCACCTCCGAAAATCTTATTTAAAAGGGGGTGGACCAGTGAATGTAGAAGTCCTTCCTGAAGTGCCACTGAATTATCATTTCTTAGCTATTAGACCCTTTCCTCCCTGTGTCAAAAGCTTGTGAAATATAAAAGCAAAACAAACAGCAAAACCCTATGGACAACAAAATAGCTAGCAAAGCTTTCTAGCTGTAAACCTTCAATATTTATATGAGCTTTATTCATGTAGCATCTCAGAATATGTGCCTCTGAATGTGTAATGTATTGACTTTTCACACCTTGTGAGGGACAGAAACGTCATGATCTCTGTTTTACAACGGAAGAGCTAAAGTTCAGAAAAACTGAGGTTCTTTCAGTACCTACGATACTTACCCACATAAAAATGTAGATAGATACCTAGTGCTTAAATTGCTTAAGCACCTAATATGCTCAATGAATTTGCAAATCCCATGACTCTTCTGAGACCTTTTCAAGCTGTTTCTCTAACCACTGAGACCATCTTTTGCCTCTGAATTCTTAAGCTATGTCTGTAGCTTTTATACCACTACAATTTTGCAGGCAGTCCAGCGCCAGCTAGAAGAATTGGAGGAAAGACAAAGAGCTCTGGAGATTTTTGGTGTCAAACTGGAGCGAGAACTAAGAGGAGAATCAGGTAGATGAAGCAGTGTGTGTGTGTGTTTGGTGGTGGGTTTTTTAAATCTTTTTCAAAGCAGAGGGGTTTTAATGATTGTCATAGAAATAGACTTCAGTGCAGAATCCAAAATGAAACAATAACTGTAAGGACAAAAATCAGTGTTTACCCCTTTTCCTCAAACTCTGTTAGCTCAAGCACTTTTACACTGAATGCTATAAATTTTCTGTTGGTTATCACAGATTTGGAATTATTTGCCTTGCTATTCAACCTTAATCTACATTTTCCCCCCACACCTTTTAAAATCCCATCCTGAGCTTAATTTCATCTTCTGGAGGGAACTAGTGAGGTTTCCAGGAGCTGTATCTCAGTTACCAAGCCAGCAGCAGTCCGTGCCTAGTAACAGAGTCCTTAATGACTTCTCCCAGAGTGTGAAATGCCATTAATACGATTAGAGCCGGTGGCCATGCTATAGCAACAGCAGCATGCAGGCACACAGACCCAAATCGCACAGCTTTCCCCCCAACGGGTGGAAGATAACAGGGATGTCATCCTGGCCCTGGTCAGAGGCAAGGTTTTCACTCGCTTGAACCAACAGTCCCAAACACCCAGGACTGCGGCACCCTCCCACCGGCCCAGCCTTACCAATGCTTCCCAGTGTGCGTGGGGTGAAGCTGGGGAGACCTCCTGCAGAGGGACAGGACATCTAGGGGCTCCTGCCAGGCTCAAAACGGGGATGGGAATGTGAACCATGCATGTAAGGGACTTCAGAGGGGTTGCGGTTCTGTGCTGAAAGGACTCTGGGGAGCTGACAGCCCAATTGCAAACGTGTCTTTATTGACCTCCGTTTTAGAAAGCTGAACCTCGTGCTTTCATGACAGGCAGTTGCACAACACTGAAAACCTAGACATGTTTTGGCACCTGATCTTGTTGTCTTAGCTAGGCAACCCAGCAAAATCTCTACATGCTGGCTTTTTTAATGCCATCTTTTCTTAGCAATTATCACTCCTATTCTAACACTGAACTAATTGGTTCAGCAAGAGAGCATTTGTCCAACCTTTTATATTTATTAACTAATTTCCTATAATTGATAGTGCCAACCTATTTCAAATGTTATTTAAAAGGCTAACATCATTTTTTTTTTCTTAAATGAAAACATAACCATTTATCAAATGGCACCCACCTTACCGCCTATGAGAAAGTCTGCTAAAAAGACTTTGAGGATTTTGAGTGTTAGCTTTTTTCTTTACTGCTGATTTGTATAAGGGTGGATGTTTTTTGGAAATGTCAAAAATACAGAGGAACAAGAGGCTTCTAGCTCTTGGGATAGACACCGAATACCAGGATAAATGGCCTAAAGCCACCTCTTGTTTTTGCTGTTGTGACAATTGCATTTCCTAAAGAAGGCTGTCTGCCAACAGATTGATGCTTCTCATTCTCTTCCCATCCTTAGTAATTGGATTGCCCTCATTAAGGTGAAAGTACTATTTTTTCTCCCTGTTGATTGTTTGTGTGTAGGTGGCCAGTTACAAATAGGGCAGATACTGAAACGTAGGATGTTACTGTGTCTCAGTAACTCTTCTGGTGCAAAAGCACGAAGCCATAAGTTTCCCAAACAAAATGTGAGTGCTTTGTTGCTTGTAATAACATATGTGTAATGATGCAGGAATCAGTGAGTTTAAGATTCTGTTCAACCTTCTTAAAAATAATGACCATTATTTTTTAATGAATGACCAGTGTTTATTAGGTTAAGTTGTATTTAAGCAGGTCTGCGCTTATGCAATTCAAGTGATTTAATAGGTATTATTAAGGTAATTAGAAAACGATCACAGTTCAGCAATAATATTGAGCTGCAAAGCTTGTGAATAACCAAATTTAGACACAGGCCTGCAAACACTAGTCTTCAGTGACATTTACGCAACTCTCCTCTAATAATTCTGTAAGCCCAGGATGAATGGCCCCTTTGTTAGGGGGAGTTATTCATTAGCTCCTCAACTGTATTAGAAGAGAACATGCGTGGGTGTGAAACAACTGCCATGAAGACTGATGAGCAAAATGAGGCTTTGATGATCTTCTAATTGTAGTGACAACAATTCATGCATTTAAAAAAAAAAAAAAGAAATAATATAAGTCCTATGAATAATTTTTCATGCCCGTTATTCCCTTTATTCTGGTTCAAAATACCAAATAATAAATCACTAATGTACCATTGCTTTGTTTTCCACTGACATTTGTGGAGGCTTATGGAGATCTTCTGCCTACAAGAAAATACAGAAATAAAAATCTCGAAACACGTTTTCCACTGAAATTAGCATAACTGATCAGTTGACTAAACAAATCATGAAGAATGATGGTAAAGAAGAAAATCTGTGTTGAGAGAACATTAAGAAATCTCTCCATGTTTTGGAAGGTGAACAAGTATCTGCACGTTGCAGCTAGTTTTTTATTTCATAAGGAGCATATCCAAGGTTTCTCAGAACTTTTGACAGAGTCAAAAGAAATCAGTTGAAAACCTGTAGGAATAAGAAATATGAGGTTTGGCTGTTCCTAAAAAGGCGCACACTGGCCGAGCCCCCTTTACTGTGTGACTGCTGTATGGAAGGACAGCGTCGCATCACTCTGGAGAACAGAAGGTTGAGTGTTCAGTAAATACTCCTCTGCAGCCTGTCATTCCCTCAAAAGTGTTTTCAGAACAGTGTTCAGTAAATAATCCTCTGCAGCCTGTCATTCCCTCAAAAGTGATGAAAATAGAAATAGCTACAATGTAATTAGAGGAATATCTGACTTTCAAATGGGGTCTAGGTTAAAGGAGATTTGGGTAAACCAGGAGGAAAGTTTTGCTTTAGCAATGCTGTAAGAAAAAGCTAGCGTGGCTCACAAAACAAACTCACAAATTGTTTTCCCCTCTAACCTTTAAACAGATCTGTCGTACTGCGTTATACAAAAGACTTCATTGGCTTGTTCCACCCTTGGAAGGCATAAAACACTCCATCAGATTTAAATAACTATTAACATTAACAAACATTTGAAAAGCTCAGGGGAAAAAAATGCCCCTGGGGACACTTGGGGGGCATTCTGTGGGATAGAGAAGGAGGAAAAACAAGGGCTATTTTTATTTCAGCTTGCACTGAGGATTTTGCTAAAATGAGTGGCATTTTTGCAAAGTGTGTTACTCTCTGCTTACCTCAATCAACGGATGATACACAGTCTTTTATTAGATATATAGAGATTTTAAAGGTAAAGAGGAAACATTAAAAAAAAAAAAAATTTGCCTAATCAAGAAAATGGCAAAAAGGGAATAGTAACCCTCGGTGTGCGTGCAGGACATAGGCATACCTGCAATTGCAATGTTTTTACTGACAGTAAGATAGATCAAATTTTGATGATAAGTTCTGATGGTGGCATACGAAGACCTAAGGCTCTGAATACTAATGCTGCATCCCTGCATTAGATCTGTGAGAAACCACCGTTGGCATGTCCCAGCAAGAACTGCTCCAGCAGTCACTCTGAGAAGACATTTTTTTATCACCTCTTGCTGACCTGGAAGATCCCTCAGGAACACATCCATTACTGCCAAGTTTTAATGGAATCAGGCAGAAATCGGACCAAGATTGCTCTGCCCTCTCCTGCTGCTTTATCCTACCGTTCCATGGTAGCTTCAGATTGGGGTCAAATGCTGATGAGAAATTGCAGAACTGCACCCAAGCCAGCATGACCCCTGTCCTCAGCGTGGGGGCCCATGTAATTCCTCCAACACTGGCAGGAGATGACCTGGGCTCTCTGGGATGACAGTGCCTGGTGAAGGCACGCAAATGGGCTGGTGATCCCAAACACCCAACAATTTCCCTCCTGCTCAGGAAGATTGCTAAAGGGCTGCATTGGGTGAGAGCATTACTGCCCAAAGGAGATGGGCTTTAAGCTGCTGTTCTTGAGTGGAGTCACATCCTGACTTTGATGTTAAAGTGAGGAACACCTGAAGCAGTAGAGGCAAGAGGGTAATTCCTGGGGCCGAGAACAAGGTGCATTTCAAAACAACAGAAAGGCATCTGAAACACTGCTGAGCTGTCCAGGACTCTGGCTATCTCTCCACTTGGTAACCTAGTTTAATGATACTCTTGTAATTGTCATCTCTGGAGCTTGAATCTGAGACCTTTGGGCTTAAATTTCAGCGTGCTCAGTCATCTGAAATAAAGGTGCAGTCATCTTAAAGTAGGAGAAATCACATAAGTCTCCATCCACAGAAAATTGTCAGCCTGGTTTATGGGGATTTTATACTTGGTTGTCTAGCAGCATGATGTAAGGACTGAGGAGGAGAGCGCTGTGTTCCCCTGCCTGCTGGTGGCACCTCATTTTGCTTTGTCCCATGTTCAGCTGTCCCTGCCTCCAACACATAGCGGCAGCATGGTGGGGTGTGCAACTACCATGTGCTGAGGCAGGAGCATGGGCTGGCTGTTGGTTTTATGCTTCTGAAGAGGTCAGCGTGTCCCCTAAATTGTTGCCTCAACCTAGAGTAGTGCAAGATACTTGCTTCCTATAAGCGATCGCTATTTTGTGGCAACAGAGGGTGGATGGGCAGAGCAGAGTTGTGGGAGGTGTGTTTGCAGTGCCATCGCTGCTGCTGTAATTCTGTATCAAAGGGTGGTGGGGTGGTTTTGTTTTGTGAGAAAATGAATGGAAAATGTGAAGTGATGAGTGTGTTAAAAAGGACAGCGAGGAAACGAAATACATGTGCTCTGACTTGCCACTTGAAAACACCCAGGGGTTCTTCATTGCCAAAGATTTTTGTACAGATGGCATCTTAGGAGCAGTAAAGGCTCTTTCTGGTGAAAGAGAAATCCGTCCTCCTCTTCAGCAAGGCAGAGTCAAGCTGTGAGCTCTTTGGGAGAGAGACCATCTCGTGTTTTCTGTCTGTATAGTGCCTACCGGTGATGCCCTGGCCCAAAGTGTTACAAAACCACCCAGTAATAATAGATTTGTCCTGTCCCACAGCCTTTCCCATCATTCAAAGCAGATGCAGATTTAGAGGCCAGTTGGCAAATGAATGGAAATTTGTAGAGGATTTGATTGTGCATCTGATGCCCACTGGAAGCAGGGCCTAAGTTGATACTTGCCAGCATGTACACCCTGAAGTCCAATTGTGTTAATGGGATATCTATTTATACGTGTAGTTCAGCTGCTGGAGTCCAGTATCAACAGAGAAACTATGTCATCAAAGGCAGATCTAAGAGAAAGAAAAAGTGCCCATTAAAAAAAGAAAATCTATATGAGTATGTGAAAGAAAAACTTCCAAAACAAAAGTGTTTTTAAATCTAATGCACCTTTAACTGCAATAAACTACAACATTCAACCAAATGTAGACAAGAATGTTATATCTGTTATACCCAGACATTACTGATGTAAGTTACATACAGCAAGAAAATCTACATTTGAACTCACCTAGGCTTAGAAATGAGGACTATTTAAAGTGAACCTAAGTGGTAAGAGCATTGGAAGGAAAGCCGGTAATGCACACTTAAGTCTCCTATTTTAAACAGATTCAGGCACAAAGGATGAAACTCAGATGCTACATGAATGGTTTGAGCTGGTCCTGGAGAGGAATAAATTAATGCGTTATGAGTCTGAGCTCCTGATTATGTAAGTAAGGACAAGCATTAGTACTCTAGATGGGGAGGGGAGAGGGGAAAAGTGTACTCACAATACACCTGAACGCCTTGCTGCATGCTGCAGTTTGAGACTGTCGCGGAATAAACATACCCAGAGTAGCTACAATCTGTTTTGAACACAGATTTTCAGTTGAGCCCTCCTGGTCCTTCCCTCTCACAGTGGTTCAATTATTTCAATCCTATACAATACTCTAAACCAGTATAACATATAGATGCTCTGCCTTTACATAATGTGGGTATAATGAACACTGGGGCACTTTCTCCTGTGGAAGAAAAATAGTCTGACAAGTTTATCTCAGTTTTTATTGGACATAGGAGGAAAGATCTAGGAATTCACTACAGCGATGAAACAAGCAGATAACACCAAGCAAATAAAAACCGTCTCAGATGCCACTGTTTGTGGTTGATGGAAACAATATTGGCTGTAGCTCCCTCACCTCACCTCCTTGGAAACATACTCAACAGATAGGCGGAGGTGACTCTCAGCTATTTTCTCCACTATTTCTGGGCAATGTGGCAAGGCGATGAGAGTTGCAGCAGTCATTACTCACCCCTGGCTTTCCCAGCAGTGCAGGCTGCTCGTTGCCATTTATCATTTCCATATCACTCAGTCAGCCCCCCGCTCTGTGCGCAGAGCTGCAGCCCAGCCACTAGCTCCAGCTGCACCCCAGTTTCTCCCCAGCTGTCCTGATGCTGCCAGGGGCCAAACCTTTTCTTTCCCCTTCGATTGTCATTGGGTGTTGTGGTAACAATGCTTCCCGCTCACACTGACTGCAAGGCAGAGTTAAAAAAACAAAAGCAGGCTGCTTTTATCGCTGCAGGACACAAAATGCCGTCAGGGTGTGTTCACATGTATTAATTCCCTTGCCTCAGGACCTGTTCCCGTGCAGAGGGCCTGGCAGGGCCCTTCGTGTGTGGGAGTGTTCAGTCCTATCCAGAATTACATTGTAGGTGCCACCAGCAAAGTACAACTGGTTAAAGCCTTAAGTGTTGCAGTGTATGAGGGAGCTTAATCTGATACATAATACAAAAGGTGGTAGTGGTACTTCTGGCGTTGCTCTGGCAATGTAGGCACAGGCAAACCTTTTAGCCTTGACTGCCCGTGAGGAGAAAATACTGGATAAACAGAACACAGAATCTCTTGGTTGAAAGAATATTAACATATATGTCTTTATTGAAAAAAGCTTATTCTTTAACGTACTTTTTATTGTACCTAGAGCCCAAGAGCTAGAATTGGAGGACCACCAAAGCAGGTTGGAGCAAAAGCTGAGAGAGAAAATGGCCATTGATGGTAAGTCAAAGGGGAGAGTATGCTCCAGCCCACAGTGATAGACCATGCCTGTATGCATCCCCGTTTGCTCCAAAAAGGACCAGAGTGGCTGAGGCTCTTCCTCCTGTGCTCTTCTGTGAGTGCAGCTCAGCCAGCAAAATGCAACGTGTGAGATCTTCTAGTGAAGATAGCTAAGCTAACCTGCTCAGTTTTACATTGAACTGGATCAGAAGCACTCGCAGATGTAATTCCACTAATTGTGCTGTGCAGGCAGCAACACCCAGCTAACATGCAAAGATGGGCAGCAACGGAAAGTAATTTCTTCAACCACCTAAACACAAAAGAGATTATCTGCTTTTATGTTAACTGTAGCATTACTGGTTACCGCAGTAATTTGGAACTGCTTTTAGGTACTGGGGATTACAGTTTGGGCTTGTCCTTTCATTTGGTATTAGAAAAGAAAGCATGGGGAGGAGGAATGCAGGGAGAAGGGGGGTTACATAGCACTGAATACCCCAAAATATCCTGTTGTGTTCTAAGTGTGCGGATTGTAAGTGATGGCAGTTTTCAATACATTTTCTGAAAAACACTTTTCATTTTCTTATAGGTACTACATTTCATGGTTGAGCTTTTTACCTTATAAACTAAATTTAAACTCCAGCTTAAATATTTTGATAAACAAGTAGTGGTCTTCCTACCCCTTCCAGTCTACGTTTTGCTAGAAGATCTGCTCTAGATGTTAGGAGCCTTAATGGTCAACCTTAAATGGCCCAAATGCAGGAGAAATTTTCCCTGAACTGTAACATGAAAAATATTAACTGCTATTGACTTAGTTTGTCATTGACTATAATATAAATTCAAGCCATACACCAACAGTTAAAATGCAAAGCGTAACAACAGAGTGATCTGGATTTTAACCTCTTGTTTTGTGGTCTTTTAGACAGCCTTAAAGATGAGATGGATCTGAATGAGGAGGATGAAATTTTTACTGAGATGATGAAAGTGGTTGAAGAAAGGGACAAACTTGTGTCTTCCTTAGAGGAGCAGAGAGTGAAAGAAAAAGCAGAAGACCAGCACTTTGAAAGCATTATATTATCTAGAGGCTATCAGCTGAGCAGGATTTAAACAGCCACATGCAAATAACATGATTTCAGCAATATTCATAATCATGGAGTTACAGTCTTCTGAAAAATGAAGGAATTCAAATTTAAAATCAGTTTATTTGGGAAACATCATTTTGTTATCAAAAGCTCTTAAGCAGTTCTTTTGCTCATATCGGAGTGAGTAATTTCACTAACAACTTAAAGGATCACTGGAATACCAAATAGGGCTGAATTTACCTGTCTGATGGACATCAGGGTCTGTGAAAGGGAAATCAGAGCTCTGTTTTTTTCTTGGAATTTTATTTTAACGCTGAGAATAGAGTTTCTGAGAAACATGAAGACATCATTTAGTATTTTTGAGATGGCATTACTTTCCATCTGTTTGTCTGAATCTGTATGCGGTTTTGTTAATATTTTGGCACAGCCAAGCCGTGGTGAACTATTTAAAGGTCAGAAATATAAAAATAAGGTTAGTTTTTATTTCTGGTGGAGGAAGGGTCATGTGACTAATAACTACATATAAGCACTCATTAAAACTACTGTAAATGCAATGTCAGAAATTAATTTTCCAGGTATTTTTAAGTTTTAGTGCACTGTGTATTTTTGAACAAGAAGTTAAAGCAATACTAAATCCCTACATTTTGTAAAATGATGAGGGATTATCAAAGGGGTGACTATCCTTAAAACTGTTACATGCTCAAAAAAGCTTTTGTATGTCACAGATTAAGGTCTTTAAAATATGCCAAATGGTAATTTAAAAACAGTAATCCAGACCCAATTAGTATTTATAGGGTAGGCTTTACAATTGCTTGATAAAATACATCACAAATAGTATCATAATGTGTGATGAGTGGTGTAGCAGCTAAAGATCTCCCTGAAAATAATTCCTCAAAAGGACTGCAAAAAATGTTGAGTTTGTAATGTCAACATTTGATAGAAAATATTGTGGGTATATTTAAACTACATTTATCTTGTTGCTTAGGAATATACGCATATTTTTTGCTTAAAGGAACTATCTCCTATCTTTTTTTGTACATGCATTTGTAGATACTGGTAAAGCAGATGTGCAGAAATTCTCCGTAGTATTCAGTGTAATTTAAGTACTTTCTTAAATCTGATATAATTCTGCAGTTTAAGATTGGTAGTATTCCCAGCTGTATGTGTGATGCACTAGATGTTCAAACTGAAAAAACAAGGAGAAACTGAAAGACTGTTTCTTTTTGAATATCATTTTACCTCATGCTCTGAGAAGATTTGATGTTCTCGTTATTTCATGAATGGTGCTAATTTGCAGCAGTTGCCTATGGTACAGCCAAAGCTAGAAGCATTCCTGTTACAAAAGCTTTAAACTAAAAAACCTCTTGGTAAGTACTTGTAGGGTAACAGACACACTGGATCCTGTCACACTAATTTATGAATTATCTTAAGTTTTTGCTGTATTGTAAGAAATTTAAAATGCCCTTTCTAAAGATAAAAGCAAGATTTTACTATTGACCACAGATAAATAATATACCTCTATTGGTGCAAGAAATGTATTATTGTTCTGCAATATTTATGTATTTATATTTATTTATTAGACTGTTTAAAGAGGATAAGAGTGTCTGGTTACATTTTACAGTTTGGATGTTGTCTCTGATTTTGGTTGATAATCGTGTATTTCTAACAGCTATGTATAGGTAAAGCTGTGCATTGTGGAGTAGATAGCTTTATCAATTTGGTAAATAATTAGTAATAAAATATGAATTAAGATTTTTAAACAATGTTCTCAGTTACCATAACTTGAAGGGATACCCTTAAAACATAGCATGTAGGGCTTTAACAATACAATTTGTCTTTCATCACAGTGGAAAGACGTAGCAAAATCCTTGAATGTGTTCCAAAATTACCATCAGACTTTTTTTTTCCTGTCATTCATGGGCTAAGCATACCTGATCTTCAGACTACCTTTTTATTGAGATCGATTGCAGCGATCAATTTTTAAACTAACTCTATCACTTAAGATTGACACAAAGTAGGAGCAGGCAGGGCGGCAATAAATATTTTAATTTCCTCTGTTGAGATCTGCTGGTATTTTCAGTTTTGTGGAGAAAACTTCTGGATTTTATCACTGTTCCCAGAAGCCTCATGTAATCCCATAGAACAAGACTGTCTAGAACATCTATCACAGTTTTCTGTAGAAAACAGAGAGTCATAATGCTTTCAAGGTCTTTTTAAAAAGTTTTAAAGCAAACTTCTTAGCGCTTTGCACAGGAGCGGAATTCAGCAGGAACTTCCAGTTATATCAGTCAAAGATTGTTTTTTTCACTTCACTTTTACAATCTAAAAAGTCCATTCACCCTAGTGTTGCTGCCGTACAAAGAGGAAGAGGAAGGGCAGCCTCTGAGAAACATGACGCCCCTAGTCCTGAGGAGGATATTGCTCTTTTCTACCAAAGTCCAGCCTGCTTGCCCAGGGGAGATGCGCACACTGCAATCGGTCAGGTTCAGGTTGCTCTGAACTGTATACAAGCCCTGAGATTTCAGTTTACAGCAGATACCTGTTCGGCTATAAAACCAAATGCGAAAGGGTGCTTTCCTTTTAGCTCCAAAGATTTGAGTTCTTGAGAGTATTAAGCGTCAACGGAAGCTGAAGGCCATCAGCATTTTATGGACCTCAGAAATATTCTTTGCTAAAAAAGATACTTTTCTGGACGCCATGTGATCATAACACATGCTCCACTCAAAACTGTTTGTCCGCTCTTGGGTGGAAAAACCTGTCAGGCTACTGTTACCCAGCCTGACATTAAGTACCTCACAAGATTAGATCCAAAAATGAACTGTGCAAGTGATTTAGAAAAATAATAAACTCTTAAGTCATTTAAAGCAGGTCTTCATATACCATGAGAGTAGAGAAGGAGGGGAAAAAAAAGAGAAGCTATGTGCACTGTTCACAGGTCAATTTGATATGATTGGCTTGGATTAGAAACGTATTTAAACATTGGTTTGGTTATGAGTCTTCTTGCTGCTCAATCTTTTCTGTAAATTGACTCACTAACTTATAATTTGTTCATTGTTAAGTCATTGGTGCTGTCATTTTTGGGTATAATGCGATGTGCTGGAACATATTGACTATGTCTAAATGGACTAGATGTGAGCAATTTTCTATTTGAAAAAATAAAATTATATCCCACTCTCTGAAGTCCCTGAATCATTTCCATAGCAATTCCTCTCCACCGATATCTACAGTGTAATAACGTGTGTCTAGGAAAGATCTATAGGTAGGAAATTATATCAGCTTCTTAATTCATATACTGGTAAGTAAATCACACCATCTTGCAGTTCACAGATTCACTTTATAGTTTAAGAATAATGACACCCTGAAGTTAGAGGGCATTCGAGACTAACACAAGAAGTTGCAAACTCCATGAGATGAGCAACTTCCTCACATTCTCACATAGGAATTCACCACCTAATTTCCTTAGGCATGACACACAAATTATAACAGCTCCTTGAAGACTTGAAGGAAAAGTGTCACTGCGTGGATCACTAAGAATTGGTGATCAAAACCTTAACTGCCAATTTTCAAACTCCACTAACTTTACCTCTATCAGGTCATCTCGTTTTGTTGCTTTCTACCAGTGGGAGAGCCTTACAGAGCAAGACAACATGCTGCTCGAGATGAGAGAAGTAGATAAGCAGGATTTGGGCTTATGTTAGTGCCTGCACTGTTGTCCCCTGCTCAGTGACTCCGAACTGATTGATAGTTCTCTCCTCTTCAGAGGACAGATGGACAGCTGCTTCTCTTCAGAGGTCAAGGTAATTTTTGGCATATTTGAACTGAGGTTTTTCTTCTACTGTCATGTCCTTTCCCTTCCATCTTGTGTGCCTCAGAAGCAGATGGGCATGGTGGTGACTCCTCTGATAATACCACACATAAGTTCTCAGGACTGCACAGGAATTACCTGCCTGCTGGGTTTATTGGAAGTAATACGTCAAACTTTTATCCGTGTTCAAAACCTTGCAGCCACGTTGACTTCTCAGCCAGCTGGTCAACAGCTGGAGGACTTGCCTGGCCCAGGAGCAGGATGTGGGTAGAAATGCCACCATAGGAATTTACTGAGGCTCCCCTCCTATTCACAACACACACACACCCACCCTTGTCCCCTCTTCAAAAGATCATAAGTCTAAAGAAACTCAGTTGGATGAGAAGTCCTTGTCCCCTCTTCAAAAGATCATAGGTCTAAAGAAACTCAGTTGGATGAGAAGTTCAGGAAAAGGATTTTGTAAGCCATTATTTGACTTGAGCAATCCATTTGGCCCCAAGGTAAAGGCATGCCTCACTGATTTTTAGGGTATTTGGCCAGGTTTCTCTGGGCACAGGCAACAAAATTAGAGGTCTTGTGCTTTGAAACTTCTGCTTTTTAGCCCAATGCATATCTGATTTCAACTAAAAATTTCACTTTAGTAGTCTCTTTCCAGAAAGATATACTCTGTTTTCTTTCTTGCTCGAACAACTAACAGGATGTGGCTTAGCAGGTTGGAGATTCTGTACATCTTTTAAGACTTTGCTGCTGTTAAGATCTAAAGCTGTCCCTGCTGGGTTTTGCATGGACCATACAGTTTTTGCATAGTATAGCACAATGGGTTTGCCATGTTAGCATGCAAATACTATCCCTGCAGTCTTCATGGCATGAACCTAGATCCTGGTGAATACTTTGTGATGAGTAAGGTATTTGCTGGATTTCACCTAAATCTCTTTGCCTAATATTTATGAACAAATTGTGGTTTCTTCTGTTGGTTCTAGTGAGCTATGAAAAGAGACCTGGTGGCCCTCCATGCCAGCAATGCACTTGCTGGAATATTCATATAACATAAATGTACAAAATTACAGGCACAAGTGAAGGATGCAAGTGGAGCTTATTAAGAAAAAATAATAATATTGATTTTTTTCTAAAACTATCTCAAGAAGGCCAGATGTAAATGCAAGTAAACTTGGCCCGGTATTTAGAAATAACTGATTGATGGAACAACATGTTATCAGAAG